ATACTGAAATGGTAAACTTCAGCGGAAATTAAATAAAATAAATTAAAATATATAAAAACAAATAACCAAAACATAAGAACAAGTATGTATGTATATATATATATATATATATATATTTAACTTGAATGAAACATGCTGCCTATACAACTTGACTTGGCCCGAGCATTTCCACTGCATTATTGCTTCTTAATAAAAGAATTCATATCAGCGCATATCGGAGAATATGTGTGCCGATATCGATGTGTCTGTGATAAAATCGGCTGACCGATAAATCAGTCGGGCTCTAGTTGTTTTAATATTTTATCCAAAGACAGATGTCATTTTACCCTTAAGAGTCCCAGCAGCTTGTGTTAATACTCATTCAGCCAAAAAATGACTCATGTAGGAAAATGTATGTTTTATGATGCTCCATGAGGCTTTTAATGAAATCCCTGTTGCCACCTATTTGTGTTTAAGATGCAAATCACTGATTACAATCAAATGTTACAAAGTCATGTTTATTGGGATTTACAGGAGCCTTGTATTTACATCATGTTACCTGCACCAACTATAAAATATTTCAGGTGGAGAGCCAGATTTTTTTTCCAGAGAATTAACAACTGCAAAGCACCAAAGAGCTTCAAGTGAATCATTTAACATTTTTTTAATGACTGTTTATGATTATTATAATTATTTTCTTTACTGATTTATTTATTGATTGTTTTCTTTATTAATCAACAAATCATTCAGTCCATTAAAACACTCGTTTTGTGCAACCAACAATCCAAAACCCAAAGGTCTCAAAAACCCAATTTTAGTCTAATTGTCCTCGGCTGTATGTTTCCTCTCCATGTCTACCTTCACTGAGGTCCAGGGAACATGGAGGCTGAGACAGATTGTTATCTGCAGGAGGTGAGAGGAACTCTGACATGGCAGCTGTGATTCAGACGTGTGAATCTGACGAATCTCACTGTATGCATGAACTGTTTTCCCACGTTTGAAAATAGCACATCACACTGAAGTCACAAACCACTTGTTGTTCCACTTTTCCTTTATTTTTTGAGTCCCCTCCGTGTGGAAAAACTTCACATGTTGGTCAAGCATCTTCCAGGTATTGCAAGCATATACCAAGTACATTTACTCAAGTAGCTACAAGTGAGGGGTTAGAGCCTTTGGAGGGGTCGGAACCCTAGGTTGTAAACAAGTGGAATAAACTACCTACAACAGTAAAATACTGCTTCCACGTCAATGCATCAGCATCAATAATATAATAATGTCATATATAATAATATATCAGTCACAGGAAACATTTTACTACAGAATAAGTACTTTTACTTTTGATACTATTGGATGTTGTATTGGTACTTTTACTTAAGTACAGTACTTGTTCAACCACAGATTGTTCATGCACCAGTGACAGCTTCATTAGTTTCACACTGAAACTAGGTCAACAGAAAGAAGAAAGGATTTCACTGGACTCTTCAAATACTTTTGCCCGCAGGAGCAAGTTGGACAAATGATCTCAAATGAGCCCTGAAGTAATCTCCCTCTAAACATCTCCAGTCCTTCGCGAGCTTTTTACATCCCCCCTGCAGCCGGCACTGTTTGTTCCCATACTGCTGCAGAACTCTGGCGGGATCACAAAGTGTCACCACAGCAATACTGAGGAATTTACTGCACCCACTCAAACATGAAGGAGGGAGCCTCTCTGGTTGTTTCTTCTTGAAATTCCCTGTTGGTGATGATTTTTGTTTGTTTGTTTGTTTGTTTGTGAGTGTGTGCACTAATGAGGCTTTTTAACCCAGATTCTTGCAGACACATTATTATCACAAGAGAAACTCTTGAGGAAACTCTGAGGCTGCAAGAGTACAAAACTGTAAAAAGTTTTGTGCAGGAGTGAGTCTCACAATGGTGGGATGTAACTAAATACATTTACTTGTACTTTACTTGAGTACTTCCTTTTTGTGCTACTTAATATTTCTATTCCAATACATTTCTGAATTTGCAACATTTTCTCTAGACTGGTACGATAACAGCTGTCAATGCTAAAGTTGGTTATGTAGCAGTAGCAAAACTTACAAATAGCTTCTTTAATGCATCAGTAAAAATCATTTTTGGGTCTGAGGCTGTTGAGGACATCATCTTGGACTTATTTTGTTTGACAATTTATTGATTTTATTGTAGTATTTCCCCTATGTCCTCAAAGGTTTCCCTTAAGTGTAAGCCAATGATTAGAAGCTAATGATTATTTCCATCATCAGTAACCTGCCGAATGGATTCATTGTTTTGTCTACGAAATGTCAAAAAATTGAGAAAAATGTTAATTATATTTTCTTTAAATGTCTTATTCTTATAGCACTCATTTCAATGACTTACTCTTGCTACTCAGAGAATCGGGTCACATAAATAACCAACAGTCCAATACCCAAAACTTGCTGAACAATCCATCAGAGGGGGTGACCACCTAACAGGACTAGGTATAAATCTAGTATATGTCTGGACTGTGTATGGGTCAGTGTATCAAATAAAGGCCTGTTACGTTCTGCAGTTGAGGTAAATAAAGGCCCCAGTCACTATTTGAGGAAATATGGTAGTTGAAAACTACCAATGCCCCCTGATGACATAATAGAGACTGTTTGCACTGGCCAATGGGAAAAGTCCAACACGCAGCCAACTAATGATGTAACTTCATCACTCACTCAGTCATGGATTTTTTAATTTGATGCCCTAATAACATTACTTTGAGTTATATGATTTCCAGTTCTGCCATTTATTATGATATCAATGTTTTGGTGTCATTGTTATAGTTATTTACTGCTATCCCTATTTATGTTTTTAATGATTCTGCCCCAATGAAGACCAGATCTCCTCCCTTCCCTTTACCTAAGACAGCCCAAAGAATGGTTTCTTAACAGTGGACTTTCTTTGCTTAAAAAAAAAAATTAACAATTAATAGATTATCAAAACAGTTTCCAGTTAATTTTCTGTAAATTAAAAAACAATTTCAGCTGTATTCTAGTTTCATCCTATGGTCCAAAGACATGCAGTGCAGGTGAAGAGGAGACTATAGAGGATGATATTTTAATCTGTGAATATTTTATGGCTCCAGCCCAAACCTACAGGCGCCTGAACAGAAATGAGTAAGTACAGAAAAAGGATGCAATAATATCTGTACGTGTTTTCTAAAAATATGTCCCTACATTTTCCCAGCTCGAGATGGAGGAGTAAGCATGCAGAGTGATAGTTACCTTATACAGTACATCCTCTCTCTCTCTCTCTCTCTCGCTCACACACACACATATACTCATACACTAACTAACACATTCACTAGTACATTCTGCAGTCGAGCTCCTCTCAGACACACTTCACGTCACAATTTTCCCCATCCTACCTCTTCTTTATTTCAATCCTTTGCCTCCACCCACACATAATCCATTCTCAATCTCCTCTGCTCTTCTTAAAGAAAAAAATAATGGAGGATAATTTAACACTGCTGCCAGTCCCATAATGTGGCAAAGCCCTCATTGAGTTTTCAGGAGTTGATTGACTTAATTATCAACAGAGTGGGGGACTAAAAAGCCACCAGTCAGTCCAATCAAATCACATACCATTCACTCCATCTCTCTACCTTTGAATGGTCTCACAGCTCTGCTGCCTGACCCAACCCACTAAGACTGATGGTGTGAAGTGCATTGAATGGCCTCTTTAAGGCAAATGTACAGAGGTGAGGCCATTAGATGGTTGATTAAGCAAGCAAAAGCATATTTAAAAACACTTTCAACAGGACAAAAGGTCTTCCCTAATTTATTCCCATGCTGAGTTGGGATATTGCTAAAAGCTTCGGCCTTTGCTGAAACGAAAAGTGAACAAAGGAAAAAGGTAAGAGGTATATCATATGTATATTCAAACTTTGTTTAATAGAACTGAAAGTGGAGAAGTTTGGTCCATATGTGTAGTAGAGCCACTTGTTTCCTACATGTGTGTGTGGGTGCAAAAGAAACAACAGAGGCCCAAAAGGGCGACGCAGCTGGTTACCAAACTGTAGCTGTGTCACAATTCAGGGACAGCGTTGTTCGGAGGCTGCGTCTGAAGACCGATTGTGTTACAGCGGTGCAACTATGCCATCCCATTTCAAAGGTTCCTTCCCCGGGAAACGCATCCTTTTCCTGGCTCCAATGGGTGGATCCTTCGTGGTCCAGCCTATCCCAAGATTCATTGCACACCAGATATAAAAAATACTAT